ATCTTTCGGCAATGCATTCCCCAGGCTAAGTGTGTGTTGTTTGAAATAGGATTTCTTTATATCAGTTTTGAATTGATCATCTTTCAGTTTTCTTTAATGTCCCCATGTTCTAGTATTCTGAAACTGGGTGAATAAAAGTTCCTAATGTGCCTTTCTCTATAGCATTCATTGTTTTGTAGACTTTTACCATGCCTCCTTTTATCTATTTTCTCTTAGATAAGCAATGCCAATCTTTTAAATCTTTCATCATCTGAGAGTTTTTTCGTGTCCCTAATCATTCTTGTCACTTGTCTCTTTATTACTTCTTATCCTACTATATCCTTTTTATAAGCACTTGTGTGATAACAACAGACATAGGTATAATAAGATCCAATCGCTGGAAGTTGCGTCTAGACAAATTCAGACTGGAAATAAGGTACAAATTTTTAACCGTGAGGGTAATTAACTATTGGAATAACTTATTGAGAATTGTGGTAAAGTCTCTATCACTGGCAATTTTGAAATGAAGATTGGGTGATTTCTAAAAGGTTTGCTCTGATGCAAACAGGAATTAATTCAGGAAAGTTCTGTGGCCTGTGTTATATAGGAGATCAGAATAGATGATCACAGGTTCCTTCTGGCCTTAGAATCTGTGAATCTATGAATGTTTAGAAAGTCTACCCTCTGTGTCTCATATTTATTACAGTTGCCTTTCTAGTGGCTATAACATCAAGTCAGAAGGGTTTTGGAGAATTACAAACTTATAAGAGATGTTAGTTTTCTTCCTAATAGCCATAAATATCTACTGAATTTTCTAAAAAATGTAGTCCTATCAAGGGATAAAACTATGAGTTAAGCAATAGTGAGCCAAAGGCATTCTCATTTGATTAAATTGTATGTTTAGACTTCCTATGATTTGACCCAGGGCTCAAGTACCAAGTGCAGATAGAATTCATTTTACTAAAGTGGTGACAGCATCTGTAATTTGTATTTGCCATGTGCCTAAAGCTGAGATTTGTAAATTTAAGTTACATTTTCATAAATACTGTTCTCTCAATGCTAAGTCTAGATCAAATGTTCAGTCAAAAGAGCAGTTTTCCAATCTCTGTTTAATTAATGGAGTTCCTCAGCACTCTTCCTCCAGAGGATTGTAACTGCTTGTTAGCTTCCTAATGTGAGGATCTTGTAGAAGCACTACCATGAAGGAGAAAAGAAGGTTATTAATAGGAATGCTGGTTCTCGAAATGTTTTGCTTCTGCAGGTGAGGTGCGCTCAGTACTTCCTTCCTCCCATCTGCTTCAGAGTTTGAATAGCTTTCCAGGAGGTAGAGTAGAATGAGCCATGTTTACAGACGATGGAACTTCTGTGTTTAACTTAACATTAAAAAGGTTGCAGAGCAGTTTTTAAACTAGGAGATGGGGGAATGCCGACTGCTGCAGAGGAGCCTGTGGATCGGACAGAGACTTCTCTTAGAGGAGAGTCTATTGATAGAGATTCTCTAGGTTTTAGTCAGGAGCAGAGGATGGAAGAGGATAATGTAAGGGCCAGATCAGACTAGAAACATTGACATAAAGAATCGGACACATCAGAAAAGGGCAGACAAATAAACAGTGACAAGTTTTTAAAGTGCTTTTATACAAATGCTAGAAGTCTAAATAATAAGATGGGTGAACTAGAGTGCCTTGTGATAAAGGAGGATATTGATATAATAGGCATCACAGAAACCTGGTGGACTGAGAGCAATCAATGGGACACAATCATTCCGGGGTACAAAATATATCGTAAGGACAGAACGGGTCGTGCGGGGGGGCGGGGGCGGAGTGGCACTATATGTGAAAGAAAATGTAGAATCAAATGAATTAAAGTCTTAACTGAATCCACATGTTCCATAGAATCTCTATGGATAGTAATTTCATGCTCTAATAAGAATATAACATTAGGGATCTATTATCGACCACCTGACCAGGACAGTGATCGCGATGATGAAATGCTAAGGGAAATTAGAAAGGCTATCAAAATTAAGAACTCAATAATAGTGGGGGATTTCAATTATCCCCATATTGACTGGGAACATGTCACCTCAGGACGAAATGCAGAGACAAAATTTCTTGATATTTTAAACGACTGCTTCTTGGAGCAGCTGGTACGGGAACCCACAAGGGGAGAGGCAACTCTAGATTTAGTCCTGAGTGGAGCGCAGGAGCTGGTCCAAGAGGTAACTACAACAGGACCGCTTGGAAATAGTGACCATAATATAATATCATTTAACATCCCTGTGGTGGGAAGAACACCTCAACAGCCCCAACACTGTGGCATTTAATTTCAAAAGGGGGAACTATGCAAAAATGAGTTGGTTAGTTAAACAGAAATTAAAAGGTACAGTGACTAAAGTGAAATCCCTGCAAGCTGCATGGGCACTTTTTAAAGACACCATAATAGAGGCCCAACTTAAATGTATACCCCAAATTAAGAAACACAGTAAAAGAACTAAAAAAGAGCCACCGTGGCTTAACAACCATGTAAAAGAAGCAGTGAGAGATAAAAAGACTTCCTTTAAAAAGTGGACGTCAAATCCTAGTGAGGTAAATAGAAAGGAGCATAAACACTGCCAAATTAAATGTAAAAATGTAATAAGAAAAGCCAAAGAGGAGTTTGAAGAACGGCTAGCCCAAAACTCCAAAGGTAATAACAAAATGTTTTTTAAGTACATCAGAAGCAGGAAGCCTGCTAAACAACCAGTGGGGCCCCTCGATGATCGAGATACAAAAGGAGAGCTTAAAGACGATAAAGTCATTGTGGAGAAACTAAATGGATTCTTTGCTTCAGTTTTCATGGCTGAGGATGTTAGGGAGTTTTCCAAACCTGAGCTGGCTTTTGTAGGTGACAAATCTGAGGAACATGTACATAATAGTTTTTTACCTTTTGTTGCATAATAAATGTTATTTATATAACCCTTTTGCTGATTTTTAAAGTGTTACATAAACAGGACAGGTGAAATATTACCATGTAAAGCAACCATAAACACATGAAAAGGCCTAGGTTTACAATTTATGATTAAAACTCTACTATCTACACAATATACATAGACATAAAATGTAAAAACTTAAATATCTTAGAAATAGTAGCCAGTTGTTTTAATTGTCATATTTGAATTCAGCACATCAAAATACATAATAAATAACACATTTTATCTCTGAAGCAGACGACTTCTCAAAAATTGTAGACCAGTGCTATTAGCCAGGATGGGTAAGGAATGGTGTCCCTAGACTCTGTTTGTCAGAGGGTGGAGATGGATGGCAGGAGAGAGATCACTTGATCATTACCTTTTAGGTTCACTCCGTCTGGGGCACCTGGCATTGGCCACTGTCGGTAGACAAGATGCTGGGCTAGATGGACCTTTGGTCTGACTCAGTACGGCCCTTCTTATGTGTCCTCAGTTCAAGAATGTTGGATCTGAGATACAAGTGCCCCCTCATTCCCTTACTACTATAGAAGGATCCATATCTATATAACAAGGCACATGGTCCTAAAGTGTGGCTCCTTCATAGGGGCATTGAAGATTAGCTGATATCTGTAAAATGCTAGTAAGTCATAGTATTAAGTAAGTATCAGTGTGTGGTTAAAATGAAATGGAGACCTTTAAGAATGATACAAAATGCCTGGGCAGAATGGTGCCTGGTCCCCTTTACATATTTCCAAATGTGTATATAGAAGGTTGCAGTGTGATGGTGTGGAATGGTACTTTGGGACCTCAAACGTAGTCTTCCAGGACACCGATTAAGGAATAATGGGATGTATGATGTCTCTGGTGGGAAAAGAGGTGTAGGTGTGTGTGTCTTGTCATACAAATCTAGTTGGGTTTTATTTAATTTTCTTTTAAATAAACACCAAAAGAAAGTTGATTAGTGTAGCACTATTAATGGCTAGGTTATTTCCCCCTCTTTTGTCTACTTTTTCCAGTTAAAGCATTGCTCTGTTCTCTTGTTTTAGCTATACAACTTCCCGTGTTTTCCTTTAGAGTGCCCCAGGCATTCCACTGCCCTTCAGCTGTTGCAAGAGTAGGAGAACTCTGCAACAATGAAAAACAGTTTCACCACCCCAGTGTCCACTGCAAAAGGCATTCTGCTTCACTCTGCCTTCTCAAAATTACATGGCCTTGAAATCACACTTCAGTGCCTGGAATGTTTTTAACTCTTCTAATACGTTTGAATGAACAGCACGTGCTGATATAGAAATCTCATAGCAATGATCTGGAATTATACATACAGCTTCTCATTTGCATTTCTTTGCACTAAAGAATTCCCAGTAATCAAGAGACTGGGGAGGGGTTGAAACCTCTTCTCTCCCATCTACCCTCCTCAGTTACAGACTTTGAGAGAAGTAGAGTAGCAGTAACACAACCTGGCATCATCCAAGAGGCTCTGGATGGGGAGAAAAGACACAAAGCTCTTTCATCCTTTTCTGGCTGTTGGAAAGAAGGTACCAGGAACTGAAATGAAATCTGGAGCTCTAAAGTAGGGAACAAGAAGGTCATTGTGTTAGAAATACCGACATCTTCCCACTCTCCGGTATCTGGAGGAGTTCAGCGCTGGGATTCTCATTAGGACCTCTCTGATGGGGCCTTTTTGTCCTTGGTATCTACCTTTTAGCTATGAGGTTCAAGACTTGGGAGAGGGTGGGCAGGGGAGAGAGAGTGGAACTTTGGCCAGATTGGAGGCATCAGTTACCACTCTCAGCAGTGAGGGGAAAGAGAAAAATCTTTCTCAGTCAAGGTTAGAGGAGAAGGTGGAGCTCCACCAGAGCAAGCAAATAAACTGGGAGCCGGAGAGAAAAAAACTCAAGATGTTTTAGCTGTCTGTAATTATTCAAAAAGAAAGGGGCAGAGAGTGGAAAAAGCCACCCTCCCCCCCCAGCCAGGTGGAGGGGAGAGAGTGAGTAGAGCTTCTACATGCACAAACTCTCTCTCTTTCTCACTCACTCACTCATTCTTATTCTTTCAATCTCTCTCACTCTCACTTCAGCAGCCAGGAGGGAGGAGGGACAGAAGCTTTCAACCCCACCCAAGAGCCAGCAGTCTTTTTGAAGATCCAAGGGAACTGGTACAAAGGATTCTGGGATGTGGGATGGTGAGTCACAAGAGGAAAAAGGTTGAGAAATGTCCCTCCAAAAAGTATCTGTCCTTGCTTATTTTAGCTTAAAAAAGATGGCTCTGATTTGTGAGGTTAGGGATTTTTTACGTTGGGATCACAGTTTGCAGGGGATTCACTGATAACTGGGGAACAAATTATCATTAATTTCTTTTGTAAACATGGAATGCTTCAGGTCCTTTTTAAACATTCTGTGTACAGAGCAGATCGCAGTTTTGTGTCCATGTAGTATGAGTAATTCTAAAATAGTTAAATATTCTGTTAGCCACAGGGCCAGTGGCATATAACAAAGCTTTATTCCAAAGATGTTCCAGTTATAGACAAATACTAAGCATATTTAGTAATTCACATTGTAGATACATATATCATGGAAAACATAACTACAAGGGAACTGAATTCTTACAGGATTGGTATTTAGGCCTTCCACCTGTAGGGGACTGGTTTAGACCCAGAACAGGTCTGTATTAACTGAAAGTTGTTACCATCTGGTGGTTCTTTGACTTAAGTGAATGGAGTGTTGTGGTCTCGTTCTAGATGGTGTAAATGCCACAATTGGGACAGTTAGTTTTTGTAATGGCATTTAAACATTCCCCAGCACCTTTAAAGTCTGAGGGCTCTTGTGCCAGCAAAGACACCGTCATATATGGCACATTTATGGACAGACTTCACAGCTCCCCAAGCTCCTTTGTCTGATGTTGGATCCCTTCTTCAACAGCAGAAATTGTCTTGTATCTAGGACATTTATTCAGCACTTCAGCACGGTCAAATTCAAACTATACACCTCTACCCTGATATAACGCGACCCGATATAACACGAATTCTGATGTAATGCGGTAAAGCAGTGCTCCGAGGGGGCGTGGTGGGGCTGCACACTCCGGTGGATCAAAGCAAGTTCGATATAATGCAGTTTCACCTATCACACGGTAAGATTTTTTTGGCTCCCGAGGACAGCGTTATATCGAGGTAGAGGTGTTGTTAAATTTGTTTAATTGAAGAAAATAAACACATAAACAAAAACAGCATTTAGCGTCAATCTGAGCTAGTTGTGGTCTATGAAAAGCTGAGCTATCCGGTGCTATGAGACTTGGAATCAAACGTTAAAGTTTGTTAGCTTTAGACCTTCTCCTTTTACAAGCAATCTTGTTCTCCCAATCCATGGCTCACTGCCTGTGAGTACTTATCAGCTCCCAAAGTTCAGCGATCCTCTGTAGTCTGTGTCCATCTATACTTTATATAGAAATACTTCCTTTTTTCTTGGCAAAGTCAGATAGCAAGGTTTTCATAGGTGAACTGAGGCATGATGTCTCCCTTATTTATCTTCTTTCTGTAAATAACACAAATTTTCAGTTTTTTTCTCTGTATTTGGTCACTTCAGAGGCCTTTCATCCATTTAATAAAAGATACCTTTTGAAGCTATGTAAACTGTGATGCATTTAAAATTATCCCCACCCCTCTCCAGGGATGTTTGGCAAACACCTTAGTTAAAGCCAGTTTCTTTAGTAATCCAATGAACTCTCCACCGTAAGGGATCTTCATGTACAGGAAGCCTGCAGGTTTTATGCAAGTTTGCATTATAACAGCTTTCACATTGATAAAAATAAAACATTGCAAGTCATAACGAAAGGTACAGCAATGGGTCATGACATTAATTAGCAGTTTTCTTGGCAGTCTCAGTAATCCAGACAGAGAGAAATCAAGGTTGAGGCACAGTGATACACAGTGATAACTTTGGGGAAGCTTGCACGGCTTTTGCCCATGCTGTCCCTCTTCTGTGGATAAACTGGGGATTTCAGTTTTCAAGATGTTCAGTCCAGCGACAGATATACACAGATACTTTAAAATTTATGAATGGAGAGAACCATAAACAGCCTAACTCATGCTGGTGTTATGCATGCAAACTCTGTCTTCAGCAGGTATGCTAGAATATATCTTGTTGGAGTTATATAATTTTCTCTCCCTGCCCCCATAAACACACTTTCCTGGATCCAGGCGGACCCAGCACTAGACATAAGCAGACTAAGCAATTGCTTAGGGCGCCAACCAGCTCAAGGGGGCCCTATTAATTATTAGTATAACTAGTGTGTGTGTGTGTGTGTGTGTGTGTGTGTGTGTGTGTGTGTGTGTGGTTGAGGGGGCAAAATTTTCCTGCTTAGGGTCACCAATGGGCTAGCACCAGCACTGGATCCAGGTAATACTACTTTATTCCACTGCTTCTTTTAAACATTCCTCCATAATTCTGAAGTTGCAAAAACATGAGTACAGCTACACATTTCAAAACATTGAGATATTTAATGTCTAACATGCTGCAAAAGTTTAATCCTCTTTTGGCCTATGTGTTAAGGGCCTGCAGGAAGTACAGCTTGACTTTCTGTTTTGTAATGAGATTAGTATTTTTGATTGGTTTAATAATTGGGTTATTTGGTCATTGAAATTTGTTTCATGAACGTGATGCCTTGCTATGTTGTTTACTTTAATAACGTGAATCTCTGCAGATCAGTGTTGTTTAGGGTTACCATCCGTCCGTATTTCTCTGGACATGTCCGGCTTTTGCGTCTCTAAATAGCCGTCTGGGAGGAATTGGTAACAAGGTTAAAATGTCCGGGGTTTTTTTCTCCCTCGCCTCCCTCCCTCCCTTCCATGCAGAGTGCGGCTGCTGATTGGGCGGCTGGGCCGATTGAGCTGCTCCCATTGGCCTCCAGCAGCCAGAGCGCTCCCCTGCTTCCCCCTGCCTGTGTCTGCAGCCCTGTGTAACACACAAACCGACCCACCGGGCAGCGTGTTTTGCCTACACATGAAGCCAGAATGGTAAGGGGAGTCCAGGGGGGGGCAGTCAGGGAGGCGGGGGAGTGTTGGATGGACTCCCTGGCCTCCACCTCGCCCACCCCCGCGCCGTTCCCTCCCCCCCCCTGTGAGGCCCCCCTCCCTGCCTTCCTCTCCCTTGTCTGCTTGTACTGCCAGAGCCAGCAGCAACTGCTGTCTGCTGCCCCCTAGCGGGGGGGTCACTAATGGGAAGACAAGTGCCCTTACCCTGCCCTTCTACCCTAGCCCCGAGCCTCTCCAACGCCCCAAACCCCTCATCCCCAGCCCCAGCCCTCATCCCCGCACACCCTAATCCTCTGCCCCAGCCCTGAGCCTCTTCCTGCATCATGAACCCCTCATCCCCAGCCAGAGCCCTCATCCCCCCACACCCTAATCCTCTGCTCCATCCCTGAGCCCCCTTCTGCATCATGAACCCCTCATCCTCAGACCCACAGCCCTCACCCCTGCATCTCCTCCTATCCCCAAACCCCTTCCCCCCTTCCCACACCCCCCCTTCTGCCCTCAAACTCCCTCCCAAAGCCTGCACCCCCTCCCTTTGCACAGCCTCCCACCCCCAAACTCCATCCCAGAGCCTGCACCCCTCACCCCCTCCTGCACACCCACCCCCTGCCCCAGCCCGGAGCCTGCACCCAGCACCCAAACTCTATCCCAGAGCCTGCACCCTGCACCCCTCCTGCACCCTAATCCCCAGCCCATGACCTACACCCCAGACCTCCTCCCCCCCAACTCCCCTCCCAGAGCCTTAGGCAGGTGGTGGGGGTTCTGGGCACCACCAGAATTTCTACAACCCTGCCACCCATGCGAGTGGATAAGGGTCGGGGCAGTCAGGGGACAAGTAGGGTCCTAGGGGGGCAGTTAGGGTGGGGGGGTTCTCAGCAGGGGGCAGTCAGGGGACAAGAAGCAGGGAGAGTTGGGGTTCTAAGGGGGGTAGTCAGGGGGTGGGAATTGGGAGGGAGTGGCCCCCGCCCCCTCCAGTGTCCTCTTTTTTGATTGTGGAAATATGGTAACCCTAGTGTTGTGCAGATTTAGACTTCCCCCAACCCCTTATTAACATATGTGCTTGTTTCACTTTTGGTGTTGCTGAATGGTCTTGTGTGTCTGTGAATGAACCCTTTACTTCATGGATGTTCCCGTTTGGAGGGAGATAACTGGAGAAAAATCCAAACCAGCCCTTTAGAAGAATCTGCAGTTAAGCTGTTCTTTGACTGTAGCTAGGTGTAAAAGCCTGTAGTGTAAAGCATAAGATCCTGAAATATTATCAGTTTGATCAGTATGGAGCAGGAGATCCCAGTAAACCTAACTCTGGAATCCCATTTTCTCTGTCTCATTGTCGTTATTCATGAGGAATCATGGCCCAGGCCCAGGCCCAATCATGGCCCAGGCTGGGATTTGTAGGGTTTATTGTCAGTAATTTCTGGATCTGTTAATTTTAGAAGTATTTGTAAAAAGATAGTCAGTTTACTAAGTATAAAACCTTTTGGCTTGTGTTCTCAGTTTGACTGCTGAAACAAGAGATTTGTGTTATAAAGTCTATGTGTGAAATTGCCCAGCCATAGGTAGGTGTGGACTGTGGGAAGCAGAATTGATGGATGTACTTCCCTATAAGCACTTACAGCAAAAGGCAGAAACAATCCCTCCTTCATTTTGTGTACATAATGTTGTCTGTTGTCTATCATTTAATAAGATTGTTTCCCTATCTGTCTGGATTCTAGTAATCATGTATGGACAAAACTCCTCTTACCATTCCCTTGTGTGAAAAAGAGTAAGTGGAAAATAGAATTTCATTGATCGCAAACACATTTGTTTGTTTCCCTCTTCAGTTGAAATATACATATAATGTTGGAGACCTACATAATTCATTACAAAATTGCTGCATGACTTTTGTAACTTTGCATTCTACATTCTTCAAGTATATGTCCCAATGGGTGCTCCATCACAGGATGTGTGCGTGCACATGTGCTCTTAATAGGAGATTTTACCTAGCAGTGTCTATGGTCCATGCCTGCGCAGTACACATCCTTGTGTTCCTATGTGAGGTTATATAGGCAGGCACGAAACTGCTGCCACTCCAGTTCCTTCTCAACTGCCCTCAACTTAAGGCAGTTCAGTGTGGTGTCCACTGCATTTGTAGCTATTGTTGTTTTAATTATTACTTAGTC